ACCACACACACACACACACACACAAACACACACACACACACACACACACACACACACACACACACGTGTCGCCATCTCCTCAGGCGCAACGACAGGAGAGACGGGCCAGGAAAGCAACGGTGGACATTACTAGCAGCATCAGTCATGATCTCTCGCGGATGGCTTTTGCTATCTCCATAAGGACTTGGCACATCATTCTATTCGCCTCGTCCGCCGCAGCATAATGTTTCCTCTGCACTTCCACTTCGCTCTCCAGGATTTTGCATTGACGTGACATCATCGAGCATTGCCGCTTGCTCGCGCTGTCCATTGTGCTCGCCATAAGCGCACCATGCTTTTCCATGACGTCGGCGACGGCCTCAAAGGTTTGTTGCCGCATGTTCTTCCTCTTCCCATACCGTCGCCGCTCCCCGCGCTGAATGTGGAGTCTCTCGTCGACCCCTGCTCCTCATTGGCTGCGTCCCCTCCACCCTCACTGCCCATGGTGTCACCTGCAGCCCCAGCGCCTGCCGGCATCTGAACCCCACCGGCCGCCCCCGTGTCTGCCAAATTTTTTGGGTGGATCGTGTGATCCCCCTTCGTCGTGGCCTCCATTTCGTTGTACACGCTCCGGTCCATGACGAAGTTGAAGCCCTCCGACCGCCTCTCCTTCGATGCAAGCTTGAAGTAGTCTTTCCCGCCGGAGAGGTTCAAAAACTTGTGGACCTTCTTGAATTGCTGCATCAAGTTGTCCCATTTCTTCCCGCAGTCGACGACATCCCTCGTCACGCCCATCGACTGCAACCTCGCCCGCACGTCCTCCCACTTCCACTCCCTCGTTTTCATGCGGGCGAAACTAGTGCCCATGCCGGCGATATACAGATCTTGGTCCCTTCTTGCCCTGACGAGTGCGATCGTGTCTCCCACCGACCAGAAATTCTGGCCGCCCTCGCCATCGCTCCGCCCCGTGTCGTCATCCATTTTCTTATTCCGTCGACTTTTTGCAGCGGGACCCTTCCTTGCAGTCGCTCCGCCCTTCGTCGCTTTCCTCCCCAGCGGCCTTATGTCTGGCAAATCGTCGGAGTTGCAATCGTTGTCACCATCACCGTCGTCACACCCCCGGGCCTCCTCAGCAGCAGCTTCGTTCCCTTCGTCCACGTGGAGCCGTTGCACCCCTCTTGTGATTGTCTCCGTTCCACGTTGATGCGAGGCCTGCCTGCACTCTGCCCACAGCTGCCTGCTGTCGCGCTGTATGTCCGCACCTTCCTGATGCAAAACCTCCGGCCGCTGCCGTGCACAAGGAGCGCCAGATCCGCTCCGCGACAAAGGTGACAACCGCATCCACTCTGAACGTTCACGCGCACCGACTCCTCCGTCGATGGTCGACGTGGACTCGTTCCGTTTACCGCCACCTTCACAAAGCGATTGAGGGAGACCACCGTCTCGCGGCCCACACACACCGCCGTGCGTGTTGTGCGCGCAATCCGCACCCGGGTGGGGATTGATGATCCGAGTGTGCGTTGCCGCTGCTCTGCTGCTGCTGGACAACTGGAAGCTCAGATCAACCGCTGCATTGTCGTCGTCGTCGCACAACCCCTCGTTAAGCAGCGACATGTAAGTCCACGGGGTCTCCACCCGCCCGCCTCCGCATGACTGCGTCGCCGCCCATTCCTGCGTAGACCCACTTCCCAACGGCAAAGTCGACGACCGTGCGTCGCCCCCCTCGTCATCCGACGGCGGCAGAGGAATCTCGTGAGAAGGCAGGCCTGCATACAACCTCGGGTCGTACGGCCGCTTCGCCACAGAACCCGCACTGTGTTGGCAATTGCTCGCTCCGAAGGTTGTGCCTGCCGGTCTGCCGTTGCCTAGTCGTCGATCCATCCTGTGAGCTTTCTTCGAAGATCTCCTTCTGCGAGCCGCGATCGGGACGAGGCCGACGAAACACACGTGGAAGAAGACAACGAGGAGAAGCAGCACGACGACGAGGACCAGCAGAGGCAGCCTGTGCAGAAGGTCGGCCATGTAAGGGCCGTTCAAAGGGCTGCAGTGTGACGTCGGCGGTCGACCGTTCAACGAAGAAGCCCGTCGACAGAAGAGAGATCGGTGAAAGTTCTGTGCTCCAACGTGCGAGGCATGACGACAATCGAAGAAAACGACGATCTTGTCCAATGAGACTGTCGCCGTCCGAAGGGCGCCCGGTGGGAAAAGCATTCGAATTTTCGACCGTTGTCGATGATCGCCCCCCGCAGCAGATCGTAGTGGACGCCGGCCGGCATTTTGCTTCGACGGACGGAGGCCACCCGACGCCGGTTACCGTTTCGAGCCGTTGGGGCGCTGTGCACATTTTGGACGCAGGGATGTCCGTGCTCTGGTTCACTGGACCACGACTGGACCATCCTCGAACCGAAATTGAACGTCGATGCATGGCCTTGCCGCTCCGAAATTCGCGCTTCCTTGTGCTACGAGGGACCTCAAGAGGTCCCTTGGGGCTAAGGAAAAATCGGCTGTGGCCACAAGGACGCCACAAGGAACTCTCCTTCTGGTGTTTTCACATTTTTTTTCGAGAATCGGCCCCAAGGACAGGTGGAACGATCATTTCCTTGTGGAGTTCGGGTCCCCAAGGAGTGTCTAACGAGGCCCATTGTCTGTTGACACTGTAATGCTGTCCAGAGAACGAGCAGTACGTTTGGGCTAGCCACGGGTACTTTGGGGTAGCCCCAGTTGGACAATGAGAGGGAGTTAGTGGCCTAATGGGGCCCAGTGGAGTAGTGGGGTTAGTAAGGGAGACAATGAGGGGTACAAAGTGGACCAAGGAGCCCCAGTTGAACAATGAGGCACAGTGGAACCATGAGGGGTACTAAGGGCCCCAGCGGAACGATGAGGGGTACTAACTTTTTTTTTTTTTTTTTTTTTTGAGAGCACTAGTACCTTTCCCGCATGGGAAAATAGGGAAAACCCAAACTCCTGAATTTTTGGAGGTCGGGCCTGACGACGACTGCCATTGATAAATCTGATCGGCGGCCGTCGTTTCGTTTCGGCCTCTGAAAAGGTCGGACGCCTACCCGAGGCCCGCTATTTTCCCAAGCGGCAAAGGTCGGCCCAGTGCCCAAGGCTTGTATTGATATTCGAGAACATTGAGGCCCGGGTCCTCACATTCTACCCGGAGTAACCAACATACGATGATGAGGATGATGATGATGATGCTAAAACTGATGATTTTCTAACTTGCTAACGTTGAAGTTCTAACTTGTGGTTACTTTGGGTCCAATCCTCTGTCAGCTGTCATTTTTCATAGACTGTAGCTCACACAGCTGTCACTTCCACAGTTGTAGGAACAGTTACGGAGACTTCGCTCGCCGGAGGGATGCAAGCCTGCCCACTGCACACACTTTCAAAGAAACAGTACTAGTACTGTAACAGCACTACGCATTGTCATTCACGGCAATGGAATCATAGATACTAGATGAAATTGCACTTGCTCAGCATGTTGTTCAACGTCACGGTGATGAAATGATGATGTGTATAAAGTCCTCATTCGTCCTGAGCTCCTGAATGTGTTGCGGCCAAAGTCTGAACGCGTCCTCTTCTCAATGAGTGTATAATTGCTTCACTCAGGCTGACACCAGCAAGAAAGTCCTAGTACCCTTGAGCTCACCAATCAAACAGCAAGTCCTTTTACTAAGTTTTTAGTGACAGTGTGTGTGATGCAAGTCCACTGGGTTTCGTTTGTGATAAACCGGGAAGCCATTTGAAACAAAAAAAAACAAAACAAAACAAAAAAAACAAAAAAAACAAAAAACGGGAAGCCAGATTCTGAAATCACTGCTTCAGTACTCAGTTTGGCATTTTTTTGAATTTTTTTCCCAGTTTATTACCTTTTTTGAAAAGCTGGCATTTGCTTGTCGAGTTGGCATTTGTTTCAAGTCTGGCATTAAATTTTGTGTTTTCCAGTTTGGCATTCTTTTTCAAGTGTAACAGATGCTTCAACAGAAACACGTAGAGTGACACTGTGGCCTAGTAGGTCAATTGGCTAGGCATGCAAGTGGCATTCAGCAGGGTGTGGGTTCAATCGACATGGCCGCCTGCGGTACGCTTGGTGCCAACCAACTGAGATAGTCAGCTAGATCCTCCCAGTGGGTAATAGTAGGGTGTTCAGCCAACATGGGTGTGAGTGCGAGGGTGAGTGGATTGCTTGTGGTTGCATGTGATGTGTGGGAGAGTGCTGGCCTTAGACACTGCAGCTGTTACTTGATTGGTGGGGGGGAAGGATGAAAAGGGAGGCGCAGCTACTGGTGTGTGGGAGAGTGTTGGCCTTAGACACAGCTGTTGCTCGATGGGTTGGGGGAGGATGAAAAGGGAGGGCCTGGTGCAGCTACGGGCAAATGCTCGGTCCATGTGTTAGCCGGGCTCCCACTGGCGGTCCCAACCCTGCAACCTAAACCACCAGGGCAAGAGGCAAACGTGCAATTACCTCCCTCCACCGAGAGAGGTAACCTCCCGTCGCGAGGAGAGGTAGATAGCTATCATGCTTGCAGGGGCCCCCTGTATAGCCTTAGGGTGGGACCTCCACAGCAAAAAGGATGGAAAAACTGGTCGGCAACAATAAACGGCCAAAGAACTCTGGAAAATTGGAACGTAGTTTTGCTGAGACCTCACCGTGAAGTAGGTTTTGCAGCAATATGAAAATGGATAGATTTTTTACCCTTGTCTGGAAAGTGCATTGCCGACTTCCCAAGAAAGGAAAGTGCTGGAGTGTCCGGGCTACTGGGGATGGACCGAAGGAAGGACAATCGACTTTTGTGGGTGATGCAGTGTGAAAGGCAGACGCTCGCTTGTCCGTTTTCGAAAACCAACCTTGGAAAGCCTCCCGTAGTCGGCCCCCCTTCACCCTCTGCGATCGGCACATTTTCACGGCGAAAATCGCTCTCCATCGACTTTTCCAAGGCGCGAACCGTGTGAAAACACATTTGCTGGGTCTTCCAGGCCAAAAAATGCGGGTTGTGGGGTCCCGGAAACTGACCTTTGGAAGAAACTTCCCCTTCTCCACACACACATTCCCTCGGGTGTGGGGTCCCGGATACTGTTTCTTGGAAAAGTTTTTCCTTGCCGCTTTTCGGTGGGGTCCCAGACTTAGGGTTGGACCCCAAGGCTTGGACCCCACAGGACCGCTGAAAGGGAAAACTTTACCGTAAAACTGTTTCCAGGACCCCACAGCCTGCCGCAAATGTCCAGGAAAAGGTGAAATTTCTTCCGCAAACCCTTTTCCAGGACCCCCCAGACTGAAGATAGCCCCAGGATAAGTCATTAACAACCATAACCCCAGGGAACAACAAACACCAATCTCAGTGCTACACGATGTACCAATGGGACGCTGGACCCGGTTTCCAGCAGGTGCCGCTCCCCACCAATAGATGGAGCGGCCCGACAGGTAAGCCCTCAATCCAGACGGTTCTCTTACCACCGCTAGGATAGAGGGATATCGCAAGGGCCTTTCTAAAAAAAAAAGAAAAAAAAAAAAAAGATTGCTGCTTTTCTGGAAAACATTGTTTTGGGTTTTCACATAGTCCGCAGACTGGAAAAGTCTCACGGGAGGATTCCTCGCCGCAATTTTGTGCCGACTCTTGGAAATGCGCATTGTGGTATGAGGTTGTGGGTTCAAAACTCCACAGCCTCGCACATGGACACCGGCAGGGCGTTAGAATGACGCACGGCTGGACACACACACTCCCCTGGGCTGACGCATGGTACTATTACAGACACTGCCTGCGCACCACCCAGGGGATAAGTCCATGGGTATTGTATGCTGGACTAGGCCTCACGTTGGTCACTGGTTGTTGTTGGCTTTGGTCGCTCTGATGATCTCCCAAGTCTAGATATCACACACACTAGATTCACTTCCTACGATAGTACAAGTGGTAGAACCCTCCAGTTTCACACTGTAGGTCATAGGTTCGAGTCCGGTTCGGACTTTGGGGGAGACCTGTCTCTACCACATATTCACACACACACCCCAGATAGCACAATCACGATACCTAGTCTATCACATATCATATACACATACCATACACACATATATATC